GCGGGCGCCCCGGGAGACCGCGCAGCCGGCTTGCCGCGCCTCTGGGGCTGCATGCGGGGCGGCGGCGTCGCTGGCGCGGAGGGGCCCGCCGGTGCGCGGCGGCCGGCGAGGGCGCCGGTGACGCGGACGCGCCCGCGGGCAGCCGAGCCGAGCCTCCACCTGCGCGCAGGTATGGCCCGCCGCTGCGCCCGCGCCCGCGGAGGACGGAAGGTCGCGGCTGGCCCCGGCAGCAAAGTGCGCTCCGCCGGGCGCAGCCCTCGACGGCCGGCCGGGGCAGAGTTCGCGTCCTGTTCGGTTTGGGCTGGGGGACCGGCGAGCAGCTCGCTGGATGCCCCGCGCGGGCGCGAGGCGAGGAAGGGAAGGGAAGGGAAGGCAGGAGGCGCGGCGTGGCCTCGCTCTCCGCTCCGCCGTCCTCTTTCCCGCCGGCGAGGTGGATCCGGACCGCAGGCGGAGCGGGGCTCGGGAGCGCGTGGTTCCTTCCGAGCGGGCGCGCCGCGGCTGGCTCGGCCAGCTGCTGTCCCAGGCGCGGCGCGGGCCGGAAGGGCGAGAGGCGCCCGCGGCCGGCCGGCCCCGCCAGCCGGGGCGCGAATCGATCCCCGGGCGCTTTGAGCGCCGCGCCTCCGCGCCCTGCCGCCTCGAGCCAGGAATCTGTTTTCAGGGGGACGCAGCCTTTGTTCGAACGATTTCCCTGCGCGCTTGTGGCCTCCGTGGGTGATGCGGGGGAATCTTTCCGCCCCTTCCCTTTGGGCCCCGCTGCGCGATGGGCGCGGACTGCCCTGAACCGCCCGGGACTGGAGGTCCCGTTCAGGGGAACGCGTTTCAGGACCTTCGCTGTAACGCGCCTGTTTCGCTACCGCGCCAGACTACTGCAATAGCAATTTCTATCTGACAAGAGTGCCTTTACTTGGAGAAATTAATGGTGTTAAATGCTATGTTGTGATTATATACAAACAGACAGGTATACGTAATTTACGTGGCAAGAGTTAGGGGTATTATTAATTGCCATAATAATTGTTTTAATAGTATAAAAGCCAATTTCGATAACAAGAATGCTCATGCATGATATGGGCATTAATTCAATTCTGCTTACTGATAAAATGGACACTAATGTCTGTACTAGAATGTGGCATCTTGAAGCAATATTGTTATGGCATAGCGGTCGCTTAGTAATGAACTAGTATTACAAAGATTGTACTTATTCATACCAATACTAACAGATACGCTTTATTCCTATAAATATTAATGTTTTGCTGCTATTGTATTATCACTGGTAATTCTCCTTAAATGAAATTTAATCCCTGTTGGAGGACATGGCAGCTGTTAAGGGCGCTGTTATTAACATTTATGGTCTCACATGTCTACACAGGCTTTGTAGACTAAACTGGACTAGAAATCTACCTGATTTAGCTCACCGCTGAAAAGGACGCCCCCCCCCCCCACACACACACACAGGGCTCACTCTGGTCTTTAGTTCATCTTTGCCTTACGGTGTCGCCTCATCATAAATTATTGCCGTGGCCCTCAAGTCACAGGAAGAGAGAAATATGTGCGGGACCCAAATCATAATGCCTCGCCTTTGGCTGGGACAGGCGTGTCGCCAGGTTTCTCTTGCTAGGGCAGAAATTAGCCGCTTTCTCCGCTGCCGCTTTCTTCCTCTTCGGAAGCAAAAATGACTTGATCCAAGCAGTCAAACGGGGAAGAAATCCTGCCTGAAGTTTGGCACTTGTCCCCGCGCAGAAGGCGCGCAGAGCCAGGTATGGGGCGAGGGGCTGGGTGCCTGCGAGGGCAGCGCTTCGCACCTTGCCGGGATGCCTCCTCTCCGCCTCGCCTCGCCTCGCCTGGCGCTGGCTGCACCTCGGGGAAGGCGCCGCTCTTGGAGCGCAGCTCAGCGTGCGAGCCGCGCACCGGCTGCGCGGACGCACACGGGGCAGCCAGCCCCACGTGTGGATGGAGCACGCCGGCCGGCTGGTAGCTTGCTCGTGTCAAAGGCAGGGCAGAAAACTCAAGAAATGCCTGCGGCTGTTGGGCGCAGAGATTGGTGGACGTCTGTGCACCTTAGACAGACAAAGTGAAGAAGACGGGGAGGTTTCTTAGGTTCTGTGCCTCTTTCTCACAGAATGTTTGTGTGTCTTTGTGAAAACTATTCTCTCTGCAGTTTTCACACCCGCAGCCCCTCCGCAGACCAGCCTGGCTCCGAATGCTCCCCGGAGGTTGCAGTTCCTGGAAGAAGTTTCCCATCACTGGCTGACATCCTCCACTCCCTGAAGGGACCACGGTGTGGCCGCGAGCCCCCGGGACCGGCGGTCTCTTTGCTGACACCTGAGGAGACCAGAGAAGAGCCCTCTCTGCCCTTCACCTTCCCTTTGCGCTTTCTTTCCTTTTCACCAGATCAAAGCAATTCATTTATTCATTTGATTTTGGAAGCAAAAGAGAAACCATTCTGGATGGGACAGGAGATGCAAGCCCGATGGAGGAAGATGGAAGGAGCAGCCGGCCCGGCTCCATCCCAGCGCTGAACTGGCTGTGACCCCTCTTGCCTGGGGGCAGATTCTGGGGATCCCCCCATGGGCTGGCAGAGCAGAAGGCAGCACGCATTTCAACGGGCTGTTTCGTCCCCGGGCGAAGGGAGAGGGCCAAGTGTAATCCAGCCCTCCCCTTTCTTTTCCGCCAAGACATGCAGGTGTTGGCTCTCCTGCTGAAAAGTAGATCTGTTCCTCCTCTTTCCCAGCCCCCCCTCAGCATCTCCGTTCCCCCGTCTTCCTCTTCGACCTCGTCCCCAGCCGTTCCTCCGTCCTGCCCGCGGCACCTGCCCGCCCCTCCTCCCTCCCAGGCCGCAGCCCCTTCCCAGGTGCCCACCTGGCCCTCTTCCCTGCCTTGCTCCGCACCTCGCTGCCTGCCCCCACCCCAAGCCGTCCTCTCCGTCGGGCAGCAGCCCCTTCGCCGCTTCCTTTCCTCCTCCTGCCTCGTCTGTGCTCCTCTCCTCTCCTCCCCTCCCCTCCTTCCCAGACGTCATCCGCGCCCCTTCTTCCTCCAGCTCCCTCCCTGCCTCCTCGGCAGCTGCATTTCCCCTCCTGCTCCTCGCCTTCTCCAATCCCTCCATCTCTCCTCCTCTCCGCTCCCTGCCTCGTCTACCTCGGCCCCTTAAATCCGCCGCCTTCCCCCGTCGGTCGGTCCGTCCGTCCGTCCGTCAGTCCTCCCGCCCTCCGCGCGCTCGCTCCGGCTCTGCTCCCGGCTCGCCCCCTTCCCCCGGGATGGCTCTGGCGGTGACCCCCTGGCAGGAGGAGCTTCCCGGGGGCCCCCCGGGGGGCCCTCCCCCCCCGGGCCCGGGCCCGGGCCCGGCCCCGGCCCCGGCCGCGGCGGCGCAGGAGCCCGGCGGGGGCGGCGGCAAGGGGGCCCCGGCCGCCGTGGACTGCCTGGTGTGCGGAGACAAGGCCAGCGGCAAGCACTACGGCCAGTTCACCTGCGAGGGCTGCAAGAGCTTCTTCAAGCGCTCGGTCCGCCGCAACCTCAGCTACACGTGCCGCGCCGGCCGCCAGTGCCCCGTCGACCAGCACCACCGCAACCAGTGCCAGCACTGCCGCCTCACCAAGTGCCTCAAGGTCGGCATGCGCCGCGAAGGTGGGTGCGGCGGCGCGCCCGCCCGGCCCGGCCCGGCCCGGCCCGCGCCTTCCTCTGCGGGCCAGCCGCCCCTCCCGCCCCCCGGTGTTCCCCGGTGCCGTTCGCACGTGCCCCGGCTCTCTTCAGGCTCGCCTTCCCACTCCCCTTGCTGCTCACGAAGACAACTTTCCCCTCTTCTCCTTCGCCGCCTTGGCTTGTCCTTCCCTCCCCCACTTTCCCCCTCATTCCTCTTCATTTCTCCAAGCCTTTAACCTCCCCACTGGGTCACGCTTTTTCCTCTGTCCCCTCTTCCTTCCTCCAACTGCTCTTCTCCATTTCTACCTGCTCCGTCTCTTCATCACCTCTCCGCTTCTCTTCTTTCTCTACTCTTCTTTTCCTTTCAGTTTCGTTGTGCCTCTCCATTCTCTTCTCCTTCGTTTCTCACTACTTCCTCTTTTTTTGCAGTCTTCCCACAAATACTAATTTTGATTTTCTAGCACCAAACGCATGCCAATTACTAACTTGTCTTCCTTCCTTTCCTAATGTTTAAAATTACTGTTGTGGTTCATTCATTCATACAGCACTCCTTCTAAACTTCTCTGTCATTCCCTCCGCCCTCATGAGGCCAGGTCACAATCTTTCCATAACGCTTTTACTTTACCCTTTTCCTTCAGCATTTTTCCTTCTTTTTTCTTTGCTTTTCTGATGCATGTGCAAGATTTTTACTCCAGCTTTAAAGAGCACAAACTCTTAAATGAGAAAGGAGCCCTTAATTTCCATCCCTGGCATCTCTGCACACATCTTTCCTTTTTCTTTTATGTTCCCTATTTTGTTTTGAAACTTGCACTGTTGCTTTTTTCTTTTTCTCCCATGGCCCTTTTCCTGTGTCCATTTCTTCCTCTTCTTCCTCCTCCTCTTTTTAAAACAAACTTTCTGCTAGTGCTTTTCATTCCTCTTTAGCTTCCCTTTGCATTTTGCATTCCCTTTGCAAATCAGTCCCTGGCAGATTTGTTTTTCTTTCTTTTCTTTTAGAAACATACCATTGCATCCAACCTTCACTTCCCATTCGCTCACTGTCCTCCACTTTCTCTCCATTAACCGGAACCGGTTCTGTTTTTTTCTGTGCGCAATCCAATTTTGTGTATAAGTATCTCTAATGCTAAACCTTGGCTCTATTTTTTCACCCTCTGTTTTGGCAAAAAGTCCTCTGTTTTCCTGTTCCTTGTCCCTGCTTCCTGCTGCCTTGGTTGAACCTCCGTGCTCAGGAGCAGTCTGCCTCCAAATGTCAGATGCCAGGCAAAGCCCCAGGGAGCTGCGTACGGCGGGTGGTGCGCGGCCTCAGGCAGTATTTTTGTACTTTGGGAAGCCCACCTGGGCCATGCGATGTGGGACCCCGGGGCCTCCTGTTCAGCCCAGCCAGTCATTTGAGAATCTTGCTGGTGACCTGGAGTTCGCATCTGCCCAAATGAGCGCTGTCATTCCGATTAAATTTTTATACAGCAGTTTATTGCTAAAAAGCCATGGAGTAGGACACAGCAACCCCAAACAATTAAAACTATAAACTTAAGAACCAAACCAATTGAATGCTTAGACAGCATTTTTAAAAGGCGAGCTTAAGAAGGTGCGACTCGGTGCCTTTCTAAAAGCCCAGTCCTAGTTCTTGAGGGGGTGCCTTCCCACCTGGGCTGAAGCTTTTCACACATGCGCAACCAGCAGGCCCCTGTGGGTCCATGTCTTCGGGAAGGTCTCCCCTGGAGTTCTGACCCCCAGGCTGAGAGAGGCAGTCCCTTAGATGTTATTATTATTATTTATTAAAACATTTTTATGCCGCCCCATTCGCCGAAGCCTCACCAGGTCCTCAGGCATTTGGGGCTTTAAAGGTGCAAACCAGCATCATTTCAAGGTTCGACCCAGACAGCAGGGAAAGCAGAAGCTGTTCCCCAAATGCGCTGCAGCTTCAGAGCCAGTTCAGACATTCACCGCTGCAGCGCCGGAAAGAAAGCTTCCATTTCCATCTGATTCCAAAAAAAGAAAAACTTTCTTAAGCAAATTACTGTACTGAAAAGGGGCAAGTGAAGCGATGTGTCCCGGCGAGGGAAGCACAGCCTCCCCAGGCAGGGTCCTTTCACCCAGGCCAGCGCTGGAACCCACAAGCCGGCTTGTCTCCAGGCCCCCTTGGGAGACGCGTCGGGCGCTCCGTGTCAGGGCAGCCCTTGGCATGCGACCCCAGAGAGGAGAGGCAGCATTGCAGAGGGGACACCAGCTTGCACACAGTTTGCATGGCGGATGTCTGTGTGAGTTGCAGCATTATTGGGCATAACGATTGAGGGTCCGTATTTGTGGCAGTGGATGCCATTTCTACGGATCCTGCCTGTGTTTCTCATGTGAGGAACTGAAGGGGGCTTGCAAAGCTTTTCTCCTTTCCCTTTTATCCTCACAACCGCCCTGTGAGGTAGTAAGATTGGAGTCCGTGACTGGCCCCAGATCACCCAGGGAGCTTCACGGCCCAGTGGGGACTGGAGCCTGGACATCCTGGAGCCTTTGGCTGGCACGCCAGGTTGGCTTCCTGCGCCACCTGCCAGACGACGCTTTCTGGGCAATTCACGGCGATTCACAAAGCCCAGTGGAATCAAAAGAGCATAAGAGCGGCAGAAAGCAGCAGTAAACAGAAATTCTAAAACAGTTCCACAGCCAAAGCTGTTTCAGCACGACCGGCTCTGTCCCACGCGGGTGGCAGGTGCCCCCAGAGACTGGGCTGCCTGGGAGATGAGGGCAGTCTCAACCGGGCACGAGAAGGCCACCTCGCTGGCCCCAGGCAGGCCTCGGCGGGGAGCGGGTTTCGGCGGCGGGGACCTGCACTGACGTCAGGCAGGAAGTGCCACCCCTCGCGGTCAGACAGAAACGCCGCGCCGCTCCCTGCACCGGGCACGCCAGCCTCCTCGCTCGGGTCTCCCGCTTGGACGCGGCGCAGGCACCCCTTCGATCGGAGGAGGCCTGCGGCAGAGGACTGTGCTCCGTCCAGGAGGGCCCCTGGTCCTGCTGAGTTGGGGCCACCCCGCCACACTTAGGGTCGTGGCACGCAGGGGTGTGGTGAGTGCGCGCACCGGGCACACCACCGTTGGTTTTGCCGTTTCTTCCTCCCGTGGCACGACTTGGTGTGCGTCGTACTCTCCCTCCCTCCCTCTCTCTCTCTCTCTCTCCCCCGCAGCCGTGCAGCGAGGACGCATGGCGCACGCCCAACCCAGCCCGGGCCAGTACCCCTTGGCCAACGGGGACACCTACGGCTGCCACTCCTACCTGACGGGCTTCATCTCGCTGCTGCTGCGGGCAGAGCCCTACCCGACCTCGCGCTACGGCGCCCAGTGCCTGCAGCCCAGCAATATCATGGGCATCGAGAACATCTGCGAGCTGGCGGCCCGCCTGCTCTTCAGCGCCATCGAGTGGGCCAAGGGCATCCCCTTCTTCCCCGACCTGCAGCTGGCCGACCAGGTCTGCCTGCTGCGCATGACCTGGAGCGAGCTCTTCGTGCTCAACGCGGCCCAGTGCTGCATGCCGCTGCACGTGGCCCCGCTCCTGGCCGCCGCCGGCCTGCACGCCTCGCCCATGTCCGCCGACCGGGTGGTGGCCTTCATGGACCACATCCGCGTCTTCCAGGAGCAGGTGGAGAAGCTGAAGGTGCTGCACGTGGACTCGGCCGAGTACACCTGCCTGAAAGCCATCGCACTCTTCACGCCGGGTGAGTAGCGCGCCGTGGGCAGCGCCCGGGGCAGGCAGGTGCGGGAGGGCGGGCTTGCAGGCCCTCATCGGGGTCCAGCAGCGCAGGCGGGCCCGGTGGATGCAGAGAAGGAAACTGAAGCAAGAACGAGTTGTGTAAGGGGGTGGACGCCTGCTTCTCTGGAAGACACAGGTGGCCCAGGTGGGGAAGTGGCACAAGGTCACCAGCCCGCCCCACGGCGGACGAGGGTTGGGGCCCCGGCCCTCCGGTCCCTTCCCTGCCCTAAGGAAGCTCCACCGTGGCTGGGCAAGGGCGTGTCGGGCGGGAGGAGCTGCCTTTGCTTAGAACTGGCTTTGCGGTGCCTCGTGTGGCCAGAGCTGGTTGGCTACCTGGGGCCATAGATGGACGCGCAGCCCCTGATTGGCTAGGATCTCTTCCCAGCTGCAAGAAGACTCAGCTTTTGCCCTTGCTCAGATAGTTGTGGGCACTGGTGAGGGCATGTGGGGCAATTAGGAACTGCCCCCAAAAAGAGGCGGCCCAGAAAGGAACCTGCCCGGGCGAAAGGAGGGTATTTGCCCAGAAGAAGCTCGCCCGGCACGTCCGGTCGGCGCCTCGGTTCACCTGCCCATCTGGCTTCTCGCCTTCGCGTTGGCGTCAGGCCCTTTCCTGAGCTTGCTGCTCGGGGCGTGTGTGAAAGAGGCTTTTTGCTCCTGACCTCTCACCTTGACCTGCTGGGTGAATGGCCCGTGGGGCTTTGTCCGGAGCCTCGGCCGGAGTATGAAACCAGATGCCCTCCATATGTTTTGGATTACAGCTTCCCAGAGCCGCAGCCAGCACGGCCTGTGGCTGGGGATCGCAGGCACTGGAGTCCAACTCTTCTGGAGGACCTTCCCCTGGCTTAGGCCACCCGTGGCAGCAAAGGCCAGCTGGCTCGCTGCATTCCGGCTCTCTCAGCTGTGCGCCCTGGTGTGGTGGAAATGGGTGGCATCAGCCGCCAGCTGATGGTCGCTGCATCCGGCTGCACTCACAGTGCAGCTCTGACCGCCTTTCAGCCATTTGCGCTCTCTGGAGAAGCAGTCCCCAGATTTTTTTGGGGGGGCGGGGGGTGGAAAGGAAGCTGGCCTGCTGCGTCTGGGCCTGCACAGCTGAGCCCAGGCCATTTCACTTCTACAGAGCCAGGCAAGGGGCCAAACCTTGAGACCACGCACTTTGTATGCTTCGAGAGGCACCCCCAGGGCCAAACAGGGACCCCCAACGCCAGCCATTCCTGGCTCAGCCCTCCAGAACGGCAACAGACACCCACCGCATTCCTATAATTTGGGGATGGGGGAGCGGATTATTGGGTAGACGTCAGACCCCTGTGGCACACCTTCCTATGCTGAGCTGGTCCTACTCAGAATGGCAGTGCAGTTTCCCTCCAGTAGGGGGAGCACAAGGGTTACTCTCATGCCCTCTGCTGGCACGAATCAGAACTGCTCAGCAAAGCCGCTCTTGCCTCCATTTTTGTAAATGTTCAGGTTGCAGATCCCATCAGCCCAGCCACCATCACCAGAGGTCAAGCATGTAGGGAGCTGTAATCCCAAGCTTCTGGAGGGCCACAGGCTGCCCATCCCCTCCCTAGCTGTTTGCCCTACTGCTTTTTCCAGGCACCCTCCATCTTCCCTCACCCCCAGCAGGCACTAATTCCCCCGTGAGAAGACGTCACTAGGGGAGGATGCAGGCTGGCTGGCGTCACGCAGGCATCCTTCTGATGCTTCAGTGTTGCCCCGGGTGGCGAGACGGTGCTTCTTGCACTGTCTGGACATTCTCTCGCCCCTGCCCATGCCATGAGGCCGTGGTGGGAGAGGTCCATGGCCCACAGCCCCTTCCCAGCGCCGTGTCTGCCTGATGTGAAGCACGGCAGCTCCCGGCGCCCCTGGCCAGCACCCCAGGGCACCCACGTCAGGCCCCCGTCTTGAACTTGGCCTGCTGTGAATGGTCTGGATGCAGAGCACAGATGCTTCGTGACTCTGGGTCAGCCAAGGAGCCGGGATCTCCACCCTCCATGGTGTCCCTTCTCTTTCTGGAACGATGCTCTTTCGTTGCTTTTAATTATGCAAACACACCGGGGACTGATGAGAAAATGGCAAACACAGAGTAGGTAACAGAGACCGACAACCCAACCACAGAGGTCTTGCGATGGGCAATGCCGAATATTTGTTGAACTGATTCAAACAGGAGAAAACCATCAAAAGCATCAATGGTGGCTCTTTGCACGAGGCTTCTAACCCACCGTTTTGCGGCTTCTGCCACTGGGTTTATTGTGGGAGTAAAATGGGCCTCTTTATGTGTGTTTTTTCCTGAGGTTTTCCTTTCTCAACTTATTTATTTAATTAATTATTTAGGAAGCTTCTATGCCGCCCCATTTGCCGAAGCCTCGGGGCGACTCACAACAATAAATAAATAATAACAATATAAAAACAATATAATTTGAGACGACCTGGACCAAAGATGTAAAATAAATAAATAATATTAGCAATTAAAATGACGTTTAAATAAAAAGGTCTTGGCCTGACGCCAAAACTCAAATAACGACGGCGCCAGGCGGACCTCTCTGGGGAGCCCATTCCATAGACTGGGCACCACAACAGAGAAAGCCCTCCTCTGGGTACTCACCCTCCTAATTTCCTTCATGGAGGGTTCCCAGAGAAGAGCCTCTCCCACAGATCTCAGGGGGCGGGCGGGCATATATGGACGTAAGCGCTCCTTCAGGTAACCAGGACCCAAGCCGTTAAGGGCTTTATAGGTCATAACCAACACCTTGAATTGGGCCCGGACTTCAATGGGAAGCCAGTGAAGCTGACGGAGAACTGGAGTCATGTGAACATAACGCCCAGTCCCCGTCAGCAGCCTGGCAGCTCTATTTTGAACCAATTGAAGTATCTGGACCGTCTTCAAGGGCAGCCCCACGTAGAGCGCGTTACAGAAGTCAAGTCAGGAAGTTACCAATGCGTGTGTCACTGTCGCCAGGCATTCGTTCTCCAGGTAGGGACGCAGCTGATGGTTCAGCCAAAGCTGAAAGAAAGTGCTCCTTGCCACCACAGTCACCTGAGCTTCCAGTGAAAGCTCTGGGTCGAGGAGCACTCCCAAGCTGCGGACCTTGTCCCTAAGAGGGAGTGCAACCCCATTCAGGACTAGGTTCAATCCACCCTCTCCGAAGCCCGATCTGCCAAGCAACAGGACCTCCATCTTGTCTGGATTGAGGCTTAGTTTATGGGCCCTCATCCAGCCCATCACCTCGGCCGGGCACCAGTTCAGCACAGCCACTGCCTCACCTGGATTGGTGGAGAACGAGAGGTAGAGCTGGGTATCATCAGCGTACTGATGATTCCGCAGCCCGCACCTCCTGAGGATCTCTCCCAGTGGTTTCATGTAGATGTTAAATAGCATGGGGGACAAAATGCACCCCTGCGGTACTCTGTGGCATAGCTGCCATGGCGCAGAGCCATAGTCCCCCAGCACCACCTTCTGGAACCGGCCATCGAGATAGGAGCGGAACCACTGCAAAGCAGTGCCTCCAACCCCCAGTCCCGCAAGCCTATCCAGAAGGATACCATGGTCGATGGTATCGAAAGCCGCCGAGAGGTCCAGGAGAACCAACAGGGACGCACTCCCCCTGTCCTTCTCCCTGCACAGGTCATCGTACAGGGCGACCAAGGCAGATTCAGTACCGAACCCGGGTCTGAAGCCGGACTGAAATGGTCCAGATAATCAGTTTCATCCAAGAGGGCTTGGAGTTGTCCCGCCACCACCCGCTCCAACACCTTGCCCAGAAATGGGATGTTGGCCACTGGTCTATAATTAGTGGCCATCTCTGGATCCAGTGACGCTTTCTTCAGGACCGGTCGGACTACCGCCTCCTTTAAAGGGGCAGGTACCCGGCCCTCCCTCAGAGAGGCATTAACCACTTCCAAGATCCAGGTCCCAATCCCGTGCTTGGCGTTGTTAATTAACCAAGATGGGCAAGGGTCCAATAGGCAAGTGGTGGGACGTACTCGTCCAAGCACCTTGTCCACATCATCAGGCCGCAATAACTGAAATTCATCCATTAATTCTGGACCAGACGGCGACATTGGTATCTCCCCAGAAGCCTCTGAGTCACTAGTAGAGTCTAGCTCGTGACGAATCTGAGTGATTTTCTCCCTGAAATGCTTGGCAAAGTCATCACAGCTGGCCGTCGAGGGTGGAACCGGATCTTTCTTAGGGCCAGGACAGACCAGCCCTTGTACCACCCGAAAAAGCTCCGCCAGACGGCATTGTGAGTAGGCAATGGAAACAGAGAAGAATTTTTTTTTCGCCGTCCAGAGCGTAGGCCCGATAATGGGCTCTTAAGTTGTCTTTACATTCCAGTGCACACCCGTCAGGCGGTGCTGAAGGCAAGGTCTGGCACACATGCGTTTTTCACCGCAGTTTATCATGCCATTTCCCAACAAACCACATTTCCCTTGCTCTAGAAAAAAAGCAACATAAATGCTTGGAAAGCTCGGAGAGGTCCCGGGGTAATGAGATTGTGTAGAGCACAGCAGACTACCAGGGATGTAGTCTGCCGTGGTGGAAGCTGAGCCCAGAAGAAGTTCTGCAGTTGGCCTTCCACGCACCCCGCCCTGGGAAAGAGCAAATGCGTCCAGTAAATTGGGGTGCCAAACCTGTTTCTCCCCGAGGAGCGAACTGCATTCGGAGCAATGCTGGAGGTGTCATACAGTGGAGAGCCGGCCCAGGGGTCAAAGGCGTGGCAGAAATGCCCGCTGCTTGGTGGTTTTAGCTGACAGCTTCTCCTGCCGCTAACTAAGCTGCAGAAGAGGCATTTTGAAGTGGGGGGGGGCAGAAAATCCAGGAAGTCAGCACATGATGAGCAGCTCATGACCACAGTCCTGAAGTCCCACACGGGGCTGCAGAGCATTTCTCCAGCTCCTGGGGAGTTAAGATCACCCGCGAGGTTGTCCTTTTCCACCCTGGGGCTGGCGTAGTGGAACAGTTCAGAGCCCTGGACTGGCTGGGGGAGACGCCGCCCGTGCCCCCCGCTCCCCCCTGCAAGCCAGTCACTGCCCCCCACCTGACCCACCTCACAGGACGGTTGTTACGAGGATGGAGCAGAGAGGAGTCCAGCCTGGCCAGCTGCCTGGGGATCCAGGTGGGGCGTCCGTGTGCTGCAGCCCTGAGAATGCGCTTAGCTGGTCCCGCACAAACCTCCAGGGGGCAGCTCCACGCCCCACGTGGCCCCTAATGCCCTGCTTCCCCCTGCAGACGCCGTGGGGCTCACAGACCTGTGCCACGTGGAGAACGTCCAGGAGAAGTCTCAGTGTGCCTTGGAGGAGTACGTCCGGAACCAGTACCCCAGCCAGCCCAGCCGCTTCGGGCGCCTGCTCTTGCGCCTGCCCTCGCTGCGCATCGTCTCGGCCCCCGTGATCGAGCAGCTGTTCTTCGTCCGCCTGGTGGGCAAGACCCCCATCGAGACCCTCATCCGGGACATGCTGCTCTCCGGCTCCAACGTCAACTGGCCTTACGTCCCCATGCAGTGAGCGTGGCTTGGCCTGCCCGGCCCGGCACGGGCCGGGCCGTGTGGACCGCGTGTGTCGCTGGGCACCTCGCAAGCCTCGGGGTCGCCCGCGAGGCGGCTGCAAAAGGACCTGCAGTGGGCCGGCGGAGGCAGAGACCGCGGTCCCCTTTGCTGCGCGCATCCGGGGAGCATCTTGCAAGAACAGCCGCCCTTTCCCACGCCCATGGACAAAACCAGGGCCATTTTGGCAGCAAGGAGCAAAACCGCGTGAGCTTATTTCTTGTATGGTTTTTTCAAAGCTTTGCGTACTGCAGTGTTTATTTTTGTCCCCGGGGGGAACTGCACAGCGAAGAGGGCAGGGGGTCCTTGGGCGAGGATTCTGCCTGTTCCTGGCACCCGCGAGCGCATCGACGCACGTTCCTGCGCCAGCCCTGCAGCTGGGGGATGTTCCTGCTGGAGTGCCGGCCACCAGAGGCGGATGTGGCCCGGCTGCGGAGGCCCTCGCGGATGTGCGGACCCAGCGACTTGCGGACAGCCTGCCTACCCCATGCGTGGCCTCAATCGTGCAATGAATCGCCCATCTCCACTGTCCCCCTTTGCATTGGTGCAGAAAGGTGTAAAAAGAGAAGAAAGCCAGTGCCGCTTGGCAAAGGACTTTCTTCCTCAGGCCAAATCAAGAGGTGCCGTTTTGTGACTCGTGGCTCCCAGCAGCCGGGAATCCTCCAGGTTCTGGGATGCTGCGGGCCGGAGAGAGACTCCATTCCTGGAAATGAGGAAAGATTTCCGGGTGGCTTTGGCTGGAGTGGAAAGGAAGGTCCTTCATTTTCTAAAGAATAACAAGACTGGGAGCTCCCTTGCCTGAAGGGAAGAACATGCTATTTATAAAATAAAGCAAACCCAGATTATATCCTATCTCTGCTGCTCCACTTAAATGTACTTACATATCTTTGCACATCTTTTGAATTATTATTGGGAGGGGTACTTGTAAGGGGGGAGGGGGAGGTGTCATGGTCTGGATTCTTCTGTGGAGGGGAAGCGGGGGGGGGGAGGAGAAGAGAAACCAGACAGCACCCATCAAATAGAATTTTTAAAATGACGGAGCTGGCATTATAATTAAAACTGATGATTGCTGAATACCTTCCAGATTTTTTAAAAAGAATTCCTCCCTCTCCTCTTCCGTTCTGTGATGCCCCAGAAGCTGTGAGTTTCGGGAGGATGAGCTGTTTCGGCAAAGCAGTCACTTAGCACGGTGTGGACAGATGGTGGGAGGAAGATGGGTTTGCAGGGGGTAAGAGAAGGGGGAGTTTGGGGAAACGGTTACTTCAGTGCTACTGCTAAATGTTTCCTTGCTGGGTGGGGAGGGAAGCGGCAGGTGGGCACGGGAAAGGGGGCGCTTGTGTGCTTCTGCCGAGACAGGAATGGGCCCGAACGCCTGTGCCGTCTCCTCGCCATATGGAGCGATGCTCATGCGCGGAGGGGGCGGCGTGGCCACGGTCACAAGCTGAGATGCTTCTTGAAAAACACACATCCATCTCCTTCCACTCCGTGCGGCTTCCACCATGTGCTCACGCCACAGCCCTTCCATCCCTGCTCTGTGCTCACGGGCAAGACGGAGGTAGAGCATGTAAATATGTATTTCAAAAGACCCATTTTTAACGGAACCGGCTTTCCAGATATCTTCTGTCTAAGCGTGTTTCTGAAAATGCATTTTTGAGCGGAGAACTGCATCAGGATATTTGCAAGGGGAAGGAGCCGGCGGGGTGCTCAGCGCGCCACGAGCGTGGCGGCCGTGCCTGCCCTGTGGTGCTGCGAGGAGGCGGCAGAGCCCGGCCCTCGAGCGGGCTTTGGGGTGTCCCCTTGGCAGCATCTCTCCTCCGGATCCAGGTCTCCTCCACCTCTGCTCTGCTCTGTGCCGGCCAGAGAATTCTCCGCAGCTGCTGCTGGGCGAGCAATTTCATCTGCAGTGCTTCTTCTAAAACCTCATTAAAGAGCCGTCAAAAATGGCCTTTTCGGCACGAAGGACTGGGCAAGTTTGCATTTGACCCGGCCGTAAATATCTTCCTCAGTAGAGGAAAATCTTTTAAATTATGTCCAGCCTGAGTTACATCCGCAATGGCTCCCTGCGTGGGGGACCCTGCTCTGGCCACCTCTCCCCCTAGAAGGATCCTCGTGCCATAAAAATGGGACAGGCTGAATTGCAGCAGGTGCAGTTTTGGGGTGCAGCAAGGAGGGGGCCAGGGAAGGCTGTCCGGACAGCAGCAGCCCCATTCACTGCCCCACGTGGGGGGTGGGCAAGTGTGGCCCCTGGTCTTACAGTCACTGCAGGGTCATTGAGGCAAGAGCCAGGCAAGCCGGTGCAAGGAGCCTGGGGGGCTTTGGCAGTTTGGCCCTCCGGTCCCCTCAGGCCCAGCCAGCTCGGCCCTCGCTCGGGGCAGCCGGACGCTGCCTCCTTCAGAGCTTGCCCGTTATGCAGGTGAAGCAGCCCTGGGGCCGAGAGCACAGCCGTCTCTGGGGGGCACGCTGGCACGGCCAAGCCGCTTCCCCACCTGGAGTGCCATTACTGGACAGAAAGGCAGGTGTGGATCTGGTAACGGCAGACCCATCCCGGGAGGGACGTCACTTGGGCGGATCCAGCTGCGCGGCACATGCATGGAAGGCCTCTTTCTCGGGCCCGTGTGCATCTCCGCCCGCCCCGTGTCCGGATCGGGGCCGAGCAGTTTGGCCCCCCCACGATGCGCCCTTCCCTCCCTCCCGGCTGAGGCTTCCCTGCGGCAGCTGGCCAGCCGCTGTTCTCCCTCGCGGGGCGGCTTCGCCGACCGACCGGCACTTGCACGGTGCCTCGTTAAGCGTCGAGCTGATGGGGCGATCTGTCAGTCAGTGCCAATCAGCGGCAGAGCGGCTTCCATCTGGAAGAAGAATGCGAGTGTGGCAACGAGTGAAAAATGGAAAGGGCCACTCTGCTACCTTTCGAAAACATCCTGGAGCGTCTAAGTGACGAGCTTGGCCTCTTAGCGTACATTAAAATGCAGGGTGTTGGTTTCTTTTGAAAATCATCGTCGCTAATATGACCGGAAAGGTATAAAATGGATGTCTAACTATTCACCAGGGGCTGCTTTGCTCTCCCTTGTGTCTTGTGTATTTTGTACCTAAAAGCTTAAAAATGAGGTCGCCTTTAAACCCCATCACCTCCTCCTGAACACCAATTTCCACTATGTATGATAATGGCACTGTCAGAGCCAAAGACTCTTCCATAAAAGTCAGGACAAACTTTCCAAATGCATCGCTTGTCAACAGAAAGCACCAGAAAAAAACCCAACCCAAAACAGGATCTTCTCATTTGTAATTTGCCACAATTTTTTTGTGACAACATAGACATATTTTCTGCAATCCGCAAAACACCAAGAAGTTTGCCAACAGTTTTTTATTGATTATATACCCCTCAGAGAGCCATTTTGACTAATGGGTGGTGTAGAAATTAGATAATTAAATAAATAATTGTTCAGTTTCCAGAGAGCTTCAGCTATTGGGCAGTACAGAAACCCATTAATTATTTGCATAAAATAATATTAGTGTTACTTATAATAAATATTTATTTATTCTAAAAATAATTTAATACCAAGCTATATTAAGCTCCTGCCAAAATGGTACTCAAAATGGCTGACAGTAATAACATTCCAATTAGAACAGGAACACAACTGAAATGTAACAGATTTTAAAAACCCAGTTCAAATACATCAGTAAAAAGGGAGAGCAGCCCCCAGCCAGATCAGAACTTCTTTCCAACGTGGCCCAATTTAAACACAAAAGTTCTTTCCACATGAAAACATCGCCAATCATACAAAGTTGCTTTGGGGGTTTTCCCACTTTTAAAATTCTGTTAATTACATTTATATGCAGTCTTCTATCCTGAAAGAAACCCAAATTGGGGGCAAGCACCCACGCCCTGGGGATTGGGGAAATACTGCTTATTTTCTTATTTCTTGGCAGCTTCTGCATTTTGTCTCTGTGTGTGCATGCGGGCAGATTTTGGCATAATTATCCTAGGCAACCTCGCTGCTCCAAGATGTGGGGTGCAGCCTCCAGAGGGGAGCACCCAGACGGGGGAGAAGGTGAGGCCTATCCAGGGAAATCCTGTTTCCAGAGGCAATCTTCTCTTTTCATGCATCAGGAACGGAGCTTCCGGGGCTAGAAGCAGTCTATCTCAGAGGGGTGGTTCCTATGTTCAACCGACAGGCAGGCCTTAGGGTCGCCCGGCAGCCCTGCATTAGCGCACGTGGATGGTAAGTGCGGCAAAAAGATGGCTGGGCCAGTGGACGGGGGGGGCGTTTCTTCGGATCCGCAAGGGCTGAATTGCAGGTCTCCCAAGCCGCAGGCAGCAGAGCAGAAGGAGGGGTGGGAGGTCGGAATCCCCCTGCGTGGAGACCCTTCCCTGAAGGAGCACAGGAGAACTATGCGGGGCCTGCCTGAGCTTGGAGCAGGACAGTTCTTCGCACCTTCCCACGTGCTCCTTTCCCTCCTGTGGAGAGTCTGGAAAACGAAGGCAGAAAGGCAGCGCAGCATTCTGGAAGGGGATCCTGCAGCTGGCGTAGCCACAGTCCCAGTCCCCTGTTCCGAACCTGAAATATCTGAGACAACAGCAAATAAGGCGGCTCTGGAGCACATTTCTCTTGCTGCGAGCAAAGAGGCCTACGCCAGGGCGGTTGTGGGACAGGTGCGCCTCAGAAGGTGCCACGCAGGCAGGTAATTCTGGCCTCGATGCTACCCTTTCTAGGGGCAAGCAGTGCCCAGAACAGCACCTGGAATGTGGAGCGTTCAGCAGCTGGACAGTCTTCGTCCGGAGAGAGCGGAGAGCAGCTGAGGGAGGCTTCGCTTCTCCGCCTTTCCTTCGCCCGACTGGAAGCGCTGGCCGAGCAGGTGGACTTTGCCATTCACCCACCACGCCATCCAGGTATCTGCCCCTCAATTGCCCGCACACCCCAACCAGAAATTGAAACCACAGCAAGAAAACAAACAAACGGGCTT